TGAGTGGATTCCCATTGCCAGAGGCTTAATTGTCTGGGTCCCGCAAGGACGCCAGGGAATAAGCTACATGGTGAGGATTACAGCCTCACTGCCCTTGGGATCTTTGGTGGCGAGGTCAGTCCCATGTGAGGCTGCTAACTGCCAGGTCGGTGGTTTGAACCCACCAGCTGTGCCTGGGGAGAAAGATGAAGCTGCCTGCTCCAATAAAGATGGATAGCCTTGAAAATTCTATATAGCTTCCTTCTGGGTCGGAATTCACCCTGTGGCAGGGGGTCTGGTTAGCCCTCCAGACCCTCATAGGTAACCTCTAGGACAGGTGGAGCTATGCTTTCCACAGCCAGAAGAGCAGCTCTTTCAATGGGTGGGGTTCAAACTGTCAACCTTTTGGTTAGCAGCCCAGCTCCTGATCCCCTGGGCCACCATTGCTGCTTATTGCTGCTCTTAGCAAATTGAACTAGGAAGCCAGCCGTTAGCTATTAGACTGGAAACCCCAGACCCAGGAGTCTCCTCGGCGGCCCCGCCCCCCGGCTCACCTGCGGCAGGATGTGCTGCGTGTGGTGCACCCAGTTGGCCATCGAATCAACCAGCTCCAGCACCGGGATGCCCTCGAAGTCGGGGTTCTCCTCGAAGGAGTCTCGCCCTGCGCCGCCCTCCTCCTCCTCGTCGCCCTCCTCCTCCCCGAACTGGTAGTAGCCCAGGGGGCTGATGTGCGTGGCGGCCGAGATGCGGGCGATCTGAGCGCGCAGGTAGTTGGCCTCGTTGCCCGGGAAGGGCGGGTAGCTGGTGATAGGCGTGTCCAGGTGGCCGGTGAAGAACTTCTTGATCTTGCGCGCGTGCACGATCTGGGCCGGGGTGACGTGAGGCAGCCGCGACCAGGGGCGGCCCGGCTCGTTGCACACGAAGTACAGGTACTTGTTGGTCCCGGATCGGCTGTCCTCCCTGGGGATGACGGGAGGAGGCTTCCACGTGGGCTTGGGGATGATCTCGGCCGCCTTCTCCTCGTCCTCCTCGCCCTCCTCCTCACCGTGAGGCTCCAGGACCTCACCGCTCTCCAGCGTCTCCTCCACCTCCTCCTCCTCGCCCTCCTCCTCGCCTTCACGGAACTCCACCTCGGCCACCAGGTAGTTGCGCTTGATCCCCAGGATCTTGCCCCAGAAGCGGCAGGTGAGGATGGGCTGCTGCTCCACCAGCTGCTTCAGGGCCAGGAAGATGCGGAAGCTCTCGTCTGAGCCCATGCCGATGCCAGCCTGCTCGAAGTAAAAAGCTTTCTCCATGATGTTGGGCACCGGAGTGTCAGTCTGCCAGACAGGGGAGGGTAGAGGGAAGGGGGTCTGAGACCCTGCTCCCTAGCCTGACGCTGCTACAGAGTTCCCATAGCGAAAGCATTCTGGCCAGGGAGACGGAGGGGGAGTCGTGGGGAAAGATGTGCTGCGATGGCTGGTGCCACAGCAGCCACTTCATGCACATGAGGTTTCCAAGCAGCATCAGGAAGGAGGGAAGATAAAGGGGAGGAGGGACAAGACCCAACCCTCCAGGCTAAATAAGGGCCTGTAAGCATCTTGTTGAACTGCCTGGGGCCATTTTACCCAGTCCTCAGGTCCCTGGGTGGGGCAAATGGTTTGCTTTTGACTTAATCTAATCAAGTGGAACCTTGGAATACAGGCCTGGCAGCCTGCAAGGATGACAGCTATGGGAACCCCTACGAGTGGTTCTTCTCCACAGCACAGTGAGGTTGTCACCAGGCGTGAGAATGGTCAGAGCCAAGGAGTCTTGTTTGATTTGGTTTCTGTTGCCCAGAGCTCAAAGCTACCCTGATTGTATTCCATCCAGGCTACACGAGGGTGTCAGCAGTTGAGAAAGATGCGGCAGCCTGCTCCCATGGAACACAACGGGTCAGTTCTGCTGTGTCCTATAGGGTCGTTAGGAGTCAGAATCCATCCCATGAGAATGTGATGTTTTTGTTCATTTTCAATCATGTGGAAGACTGCCCTTGTTTAGAGTCCGGGAGGGAGGT